CCCAGGAGGGGAACTCTCAGCTACTCAAGGAGGACCTCAGGTCCTGTGCTTTATCTCTGCATTTTAACATAGCACTGCTGACTTCTTTCAAAGACCACCTCGCTGGAGGACACCGAGGGCTGGCTGTCAGGCCTGGCGGGCTCTGTCAGAGCCCACATCCTGCAGAAGATAAAGGTGCTTCTCCTCCATGCACCAGCAGCAGGCTGGCAGGCTGCTGTTGGGTCAGATTTGGAAATAATATTCTGGCCGCGGTGTGAGAGCAGCTTTGGGCTGTACGTGGGGGCTGGAGAGGACTCAGCTTGCTGACTTCCTTCCTGGCTGACACCTGTGTCGGGAGGGAGGGCTGGATGTGCCTTAGTTTCTCGTGTAGTCTCACTGGTCAGTAGAGGAGAGGGGGGCCCTTTTTGAAGGCGAAGGAGGGCCATTTGGTGAGGGTGGTGACACAGCTGAGGAAGAAGATTGCCTTCATGAGTGAGATAAATTATTTTCCTCAACGAACTGTCTTTCCGCCTCTGCACTGAGAAGTGCTGATGTACAGCCGCTGCTACCTGGAAGACGTACTCATGTCCTGTGAGCCTCACAGCCCAGTGTGACGGGGTCCATGTTGTCCCTGACACATGCACCATGGATTCTGACACGGCCTTCCCCACCTTCCTGCCTGTTTTGTCCAGGTACCTTCCTCCTCCCGGGAGTACAGGATTGTTGACATTCATCCCACGCGTGACTCTCAGCCCTGACTGCACATCAAATCAGCTAGAAAGCTGAGAACAAGAACCAGTGTGCAGGACCCACCTCCCAAGTCTAAATTTTAAATTTATAAAGTGTATTTTATTGTAAATAAGCAACATACTTTATTAATAGTAAAATACATGCTGTGGTTGGGAAGGGGATTGGTACATGGGGACATCCGGCTGACTTGACCTCAGAAGGTAGGATCTGCTCAGCAGAGGCGGCCGCTATGGCTCTCGCCTGGGAGGGTTCATCTCTCCTCTCACCTGGCTTCCCTCTGCTCCCTGGCTGCGTGAGGTGAGCAAATTCCCTCTGCCCATGCCCTTCCCCCATGCCCACCATGTAGGGACTGAAACTTCTAAACCGTGAGCCAAAATCAACATCTCTAATATTCTATTAGAAATAGCGGGAGGCATTATGGTAACCATTGTTGATCACCTTGTATTATGTTTTTATATTATCTATTATATCCACCCTTTTGACTTGACCGATTCTGTTCTGTTATGTCACATTTGGTTTTACTCTCTTCCAAAAAAGCAATACGAACCGTGGGAGCAATGAAACCCAAAATGTGTAATAGTCACTGTACAAAAGAGAGGAAAAGAAAGTGCTCTAAACTATATAACTGCATGTATATTTAAATGTATAAGATAGAAAATGATATCACAGAGTTTTATTGGATCATTGAACAGAACTGTTTGCAATATCATTGTTGGAATGTCCACTCTACAAGCTTTAATTTTGTGACTGGAACAATTATTTCTAAGATGGCAATATGTAATCCATTAACTAGTGATTTCCTACTGCGCATTTTTTTCTTCTGTAAATCTGTATAACTTGTACCCCTTCACTATTTTTTTTTCTTTCTTTTCTTTTCTCCTTAAATAAAAATTAAAAAAAAAATCAACATCTCCTCCTTTAAATTGTGGGTTTTACATCTCAACAAGGAAGTGACTCAGACAATACCCTTAACATAAAATCAACCATCTTAACCACTTTATACTACATATACATAGTACAGTGCACTCTGGCAGGAAGTACGTTTTCAGGGTTGTGGCAGGTGTCACCTGAGTGATACAATCCTTGTATGAGGAGAACCATCTCTTTCCAGACCTCTGTTCGTCATGCAACCCTGAAGCTTGATACTCACTAAATAATAACTCTTCTCTCCTTCCTTCCCACAGTCCCTGATACCTATCACTCTACTTTCTGACTCTCCCCACTTTTTTATGGCATTAGAGATTGAACCCAGGACTCCCTACTTTTTTTATGGTATTAGAGATTGAACCCAGGACCTCAGCACTGAGCTACACCCCCAGCTCTTTTTCATTTTTATTTTTTATTTGAGACAGAGTCAGTATGCTAAGTTGTCCAGGCTGTGGTTCAACTTGCTAATCTCCTGTCTCAGTTTACCAGAGTGCTGGGTCTCAGGCATGTACCACCTCTGAATGTGACTACTCTAGGTTGCTCATGTAGAGTCATACAGTATCTGTCCCTTTGGGATTGGTTCATTTCGCTGAACACGCCTTTGGTGTCTGTCCATGTTGTTGTGTGTATCATAATTTTCTTCCACTGTAAGGCTGTGTTATTTCCTTGTATGCACACACAACACTGTGTCTACCACTCATCTCTTGGTGAATCCTTGGGCTACTGCTGGTTTTGGGGTAACATGAATAATGCTGCTATGAATAGGAATATACAAAATCTCTCAGGGTATTTTTAAAAGCGTCCAGTGGGATCTGATGTGCAGCCAGGGCTGACAGCATCACATCTGCTAAGTCCAGGCCCTTGTGAGGGATGTGGGGAGGAGCCATGTTACCTTACATGGCTCAACCCAGCTGCTCCTTATGATGACAGCTGTCACTGTGTCGGTTATCTGCAGTGTATCATCTTCCTCCTCCCATTGACATGAAGACCGGGGAGGGTGGAGCTGCTTGGTTTGCTTCAGTATCTCCCAGATCTAATGCTCAATCTAGCACCCATAGGAGTTGATGAAGTTATTGAACAAAGAAGACTACTAGGGCTGGGATATAGCTCAGTGGCATAAGCACCTGTGTGGCAATCACAAGGTCCTGAGTTCAATTCCTAGTACAATGCACACACACACACACACACACACACACACACACACACACACACAAAGGCTACTAGCCCAGAAGTGACCTTTTGTTTGCTGTCAAAACCAACCATTCCCTTCTGCTACTAGAAATTATGCAGCAGGTGTCCCACGCCATCTTCTGGCACTGTAGCCTGGCTCACACTGGGGGCTGAGCCTAAGTCAGGATCCAAGATCCACATGAGCTAAAATCATGCACATGAAAGAAGCCCCAGGCTCTGACAGTGGAATGGGACAGGGATGGCAGGAACAGATACCATGTGCCAACTTCTTCTGAGTCAGATGCTCCTAAATGAATGGCTGTTCCCTAGAGTAATGGCCTGATCCTCTAATCAGCACTCTGGGAAACTGAGGCAGGAGGATCATAACTTCCAGGCCAGCTTGTGCAATTTAGAAACATAGTGAAACCCTGTCTAAATAAATAAATAAGTAGGGTTGGGGTTGTAGTTCAGTGGGAAGGTCCTGGTTTAAATTCCTAATGCCAAATCAAACCAAACCAAACAAAACAAGAAAGACTATCCCGATTCCTTCCATCTGAATGAGAGATTATATTCCCACAAATATCTGCTTCTTGAACTTTCTGACCCACATTAACAGTAACATAACCACGTTTTCATGGAAGTGGGTTTCTCATGCTCTTTATTTGCTTCTGTAGCTCCCCATTGTTCTGTTAACTTTGGTTTCAGTTTTAATCTGAGCACTCATGATCACTTTTATGAAAAACCATAGAAATTAGAAAGTAGCCCCAGATAAACACCAAAGCCCTCGAGATAGCTCTACCGACTTGCATCTTGAAGTCTATAGATGTGTGTGGAGAGAAGGCCCTTGGAAGGGGGTGCAGCATGCAGCAAACCATGAATGTCCTCCTCACCGGGGTACACCTTGGTACACAGAATAACAAAACCAGCTTGGTGTTCTCCTTTTCTACTTCCGAGATCTGCGCTCCCCTTCCACCCCAACAATACCCACATTAGAGCCTGGAGAAGGTGAGTCAAGCTATGGAAATTCCCATGGTAACCCCCCTTCCACCTTTACATGATCACCCACACTTGGCACCAAGGGACAATGGCAGAAGGTCCCAGATGGACGGCCTCTCTGCAAGGTCCTTAGCTAATGTTAATCTTGGGTCCCTGTGCTCAGAATGAACTAAACGCACGAGGGTACATTTCTTTTTAAAGCAGTCTTCCTTAAATGATGGTAACAAGTGGCCCCATGATAAACTGAGACCAGCTTTACACTCTAGGGCTGCTGGGTAGCAGGACGGTGCAGAGTTTTCAAGGAATTTAGCTATGCCAACTGTCACAGTCCTGGAAGAAATCCTAAGGTAGTAAAAGAATGGGTGAAGGACATCATAAACAGAGATGTGTTTCTGCTCCCTCCACCACCTCCAGATCAAAACGGCATGGAGAGAAGAGAAGCCATGAGCCCAGCGCTGGTGCCAACTGCTGGTTGGCAGGAACTTAGCAGGCAAAGCCATGGAGACCTCTACATTTCCACCCCAACTTCACAAGGACTGTGGTGACTACAGCATCCACCCACTCTCATCATTGACTTGAGTGTTTCATGCTCTTGCTGCATCCACCATAAACTGATGCAAGAAGACATCACCTGGGTCCCCTTTTCCATTGGCAAAATCTTGGGGATCTTCATATTTTATTACTGCTTATGCAGGCACCTTGATCTGATCACTTGACTCCCGGAGCAGGAGAGGGACATAATTATAGTGGACCACTGACTTATGAATCAATTCTTTCCAGAGGGCTGGTTGTAATTCAACTTGTCAGTTGAAGGCTCAGGCTCCTCTACACAGCCTTCAAAGTCACTCTCCTGTACCCAGGGAGATCTGGCATCCTTAAAGAGACACTGGCTTGGGAGTTCTCAATTAACCCACACAGAAAAGGATGTTGTGATGTTCCTTCCAGAACTCTTTGAATCTGTATCCAAGACCACTTAGATGCACAAGTGGCCAGAATTCAGGTCATAACTCAAAACACTGGCTGTAAGTTAAAACTAAAATTCCAGTCACCACTCAAGTTGTTCATATGTCAGGCCAGTCATAACTTGAGGGTCCATTGTACATAGGCAAATAATTTTACAGATAGGGGAATGGAGTAAAATAATTCAGTCACCGTGTGCCCTGAGCACAGAGCCTTACCAGGACCGTGTGCATCCCAGTGTAGAGCCGGCTGAGACACACCAGGGTGGAAAAGAGCACAGCCATCGCCAGTCCCAAAACAAAAGGGTACTGCAGAGGGAACAAGAGAAAATAAGGAAATCAGGACACACACAGGTGGGGAAAAGATTCCCACACTCTCCTTCCTAGCCTGCACCTTACATTCCCTGGAGCAGTAACTATCAGAAGTCATTTTAAACACAAGGAAACAGAAGAAAGAGAAGGTCAAGGTGCCCAGGAGCACAGCCACACGGCAAAGCGTCCCAGGATATAAACAGGCAAACAACAAGCAGAGCTTGGTTTTAAGACTCCTCATGCCACTCCTGTGCTGGCATCCATGCTGCAGTAAATAATCCTTAGTTTTATCTAGTCTTTAGTTCAAACTTGAAAAATAAACCGTTTGACCAAGAAGCAAGATAGAGGGCTAGTGTTGTTGTCTAAAAGTCTCAATAAGTAATCTCTTTTACTGAAGTGAAAAATGGGCCCAAGTTAAGAAGGGGCTCACACATGTGAAAGCAATAATCTAGACTGTGAGGCTTCACACTTGCTGCTGGGTGAAACAGCTACGAAGACTGAGCTACATGGGGAGCACTCATAGTCTGCTGGTGAGCACACCCTCTGGTTTGAAGGGTTACTGTGATCCTCCTGCTTCTGTGATATTCCATAGTGTTGAGAGCAGAGAAAGCAGAGCAGTGTCTATACTTCGTTTCTTCTCTGTCACTTCATCTTCACATGATCCTATGAAATATGCTCTGCTCTCAGCTCCCTTAATCATGGTAATAAACTACATTAGCACTGAACTTTGTCATGAGAGGCTTTTCCCTCACTCATTCCATTTGATCCACAACAGGAGCCAGGGCTCGGGGAGGGAAATGATTCGTCACACCGTTGGTGACACAGTTAGAACCAAAGCCATGTCTTCTAAGTCCAGTGTGTTGTGTCGTAGGTGTCATGGTTTATGTCAGTGGCCCCCAAGCCTGATGCACTTATGGTCTTGACCAAATGTAGCATGTGTGGTTGGTTTGTTGTGTAGTGCTTGGATTAGTGGTGTGAGTGCTACACCTGCCTAGGGGTGGAGCCAGGATTTGATGTAAGGGCAGAAGGAAGGTGTGTCTCACTCTCTTGCCCTTTTGTACCTTGCTGTTGGTAGTGGCTATGAATGGCTGCCCCACCATGCCATGCTGACTTGAAGCCAGCTGAGTATGGACTGAAACCTCCAAGAATTGTAAGAAGTAATCCTTTGCTTCCCTAACTTTGAGCATCAGGTATTTTTCTTGGTGATGAGTAAAAAGTAACTAAGTCAGTAGGTAATATGTGAATATAAAAGCACCTGGTTGTATTTTTTCTTGCAAAATTTTTTTAAAATTTTGAGACAGAGTCATGCTAAATTTTCCAGGCTGGGCTCCACCTTGTGGTCCTCCTGCATCAGCTTCCTGTGTAGCTAGAATTATGGGTCGTCACACTCAGCTTCCCTTAAGGTTTGTCACTGACCGAATCTCAGATTTTAATCAAAATGTGCTAAAAATTAATGAGCTAATACATCCTGAAGTTAGATTTGGAACATTTAGCTCAAATAAACACATATTTAGAGCTGTGTATTAGAAGATAATACAAGTAGCTAAATACAGAGTCTGTCCAAAAAGGCACACACATTTCAGCAGTTCGAGTGCTAATAAATGCCTGGAAGCCAATGGCCACCACTGGTAATTGTAGAAACCAAAGGTACTGCATTAATCTCCTGATGCCTCCATAAATTCAGTACTAAAATATTTAGTATTCAAAGTCAAACAGAAAAGAAACTGACAACAGAATTCAGGCCTGAAGAAAACCAGTGCATCATGTGACCTGAAAGAATTTGTCAAGGAGGAATAAGTGGTTTAGATAATAGCAAGTAGGGATGTGGATCCTTCTCTAATGGGAAAAGGATCAAGAGATGGAGGTCGGGGGAATGACAGGAGGGAAAGGGGATGAAAAAGAATGAAGACGCATTAGATGCATGGACCAGCTCATCATAGGAGTGTAAATATTATGTATCCCTAATTTTAAAATGAGTGATACAGTGCTGGCCTCCATCATCACTGTGGTTGTTTTTATTTTATTCCTACAACCTGCTTCTCCTCACTGCTTTCTTTCCTGAGGAACGTTAGCAGACTGCTCTGGTGACAGTGAGCAATTCCACAAAGGCAGGCTGGTGCTCAGCCGGCTGTGTCACGGTGGGCAGGTCACACCGGGTGCCGAGGAGCCAGAGATCTGCATCTTGATGATTCAGATGTACTGAGGGCTTGGACACAGTTCAATTCTAGTGTGGCATTTAAGTAAGTCATTGTCATGAGACGCCATGATTCTATCTGGTTGGATACACCCAAGAGTCTCTATCCCATTAGAGAATGGTGGGCACCTCCAGGTGGCCAGGAAGGAGCCTGAGAGGTAGAACAGGGGCACTTTCACCACCCAGGTTTATGTTTATTTCTGCACAATGCAGAATATGGACTTCTTGGTTCCTGGGGTAAAAGGGACCAAATAATACTGCCATCCACCTAGCAGACTGCTGAATTTAGTGAGAGGGAAAACTTCCAATAGCCAAAAAGCAGAATAAATGAAATTAAGCACAAAATTAAAGCAATATGTCTCAAAAAGAAGAAAAGAACTGAAAAAAATACTATCACCGAAGTAATATTATAACTTTAAAAAGTTGTATTGTAATTGGCATCTAAGCAGATATTAAGTGAAGCTCTATTTTCAACATTTATTAATCTCCTGTCATTTAGACAGTTCTGAAAGAATTTGGAGCCATCATTTTCTGACGGGCTGAGCCCTAAGCAGGGCAGAGGCATCCTTGGGTGGTAATTTGGGGTACAGACTCTTTTTGCCCTGGGCCCTGGGGAGTCTGGCAGGGGGATTTGGAGGGATCATCCCTGCCCTGCAGGAACATTCTCAAGGCTCATAAACCCTTTGTGTCTCTTGCAAACAGAGTGAGAGCGCAGACTCCAGTCTGTCTCAGGGTAAAAATGCTTCCTGGGGGAGGGAAGTGACATGCACAGGTCACCTTGGCAGCCTGTGTTACTCTGGTTGTCACGGCATGATTATGAATGGTGCCCACTTTTACTCCCATTATGACCTGAATCGAGTGTGTTAAATTATAAGTCACTCTATCAAAGAGGAAATTGTCACCAACAGTTTTGGAGGTTTCCTTTTCTCTAAGTCCTTACCTCATAAGCTGTAAAGTCCTTCAAAGTGACTTGAAAAAGAATTTCTGACTTGCATCTGTGCTCACCGAACCCCTTCATGGGATGGCGGTGGATCCTGGGAAGGAAGGCCCAGGCTGCCTCACCTGGTAGCGGTCCAGGGTTGAGATTAGCAGGGTGAAGGAGATAGCAGTGGCAGCCATGGCGTGGGTGGATGGCATCCCGAACTCGGCCATCACTCTCTTTTCCAGCTTCACAACAGGAGGAGAGGAGGGACGGGGCCACTTCAGGATGTCTTTGGCTACCTGGCCAACATACATCACCAGCTGCAAAAACAAAGGACCAAGGTAAGTCTAACCTAGCAGGGAAACCCAGAGAATTTTGAAATGTTGACTATTAGTTGAAGGCTTCTTTCCTCTGACCAGTGGCTTGTTGAGAAAGTCTTGGAGGGCGATATCTTAGTTTATAAATAGAGACCAGGTTAGCAGGGTGGGGTGATGCACGCCTGTACCCCAAGTGCTCTGGGAAGCTGAGACTGGCGGATGGATGCAAAGTTCAATCCCAGCCTGGGCAGCTTAGTGATTTAGTCTCAAACACTGGGGGAGGGGTAAAAGGGCTGGGGATGTAGTTCAGTTCAGTGTGAAGTTTCTGGTTTCAATCCACAGTAGGGGAAATAGAAAACAAGAAAGAATGAAAAGAAGAAAGGGAGAGAGGGGACAAGGAAGAACAGGGAAAGCAGAAAAAGATACAAGTTTTCTGGATTCCACGAACAACTGAGCAACCAGGACAGGACATCAATGCACAGACGATGTGTTTTAAAGGTGTATTTAACGAACTCAATATAGCTCATCTATTTGCTGGGTCGTGTTTAAGAACTTCGCGGACAGTGGCACCTCATCTGGTCTCACCTGCAGAGAGCAGCCCCCTACGATAAACCAGTCAGGCATTGTCTGCTGGTGCATACGCACAGGGCGCACAGGGCAGGAGGCTATGGGAGGAGGAGCTGGGATCAGAGTCCAGGAAGCACGGCTTCGGAGCTCAAGCCTGGGCTTTATAAATCACTCAGAGCCACCCACTTGGCCCCAGGACAGTGCTGGCCTAAAGACAGCCAGGACCGGGTCAGGCCGCCCTGCCGCCTAGCTCAAACCTCAAAAGCGACTGTCCTCAGAGAAACAGTAGGCAAATATTTTTAGACTGTTCCTGTGCCTTCTGATGAAGGAGAGCAACATGCTGGATTGAATTTAAATCCACTTGGAAATCGAGAGTCCATAAAATAAATGCTAAGGACACTTTCAAGCCTAGAAGAAAGATAACTGAATTTGGTGTTTGTTCAAATGATTTTTCTATGAGGCCATTAGTGAAAAAGGAAAAAAAAAAATCCCCTCAGTCTCTGAATTTTCCCCATCCTCCCAAGACAGAAACCAAGAGGGGAAGTTCATCCTCTCCGAAAAGGAATGGGATGGTTAACGATAGACTCGTTTATTTTGTCAAAAAGCTTTTCAGGGCTATTTCATGACCTAGGGTGAACTGGAGAAGAGCAACCTTTGCCACTCGGCACAGGGTCTGAAGAGGGCGGACTGTGTACCCCCTGGAGTCAGTTTCAGTCGTTTATTTATTTATTTTTATATTTTTATTTTGAAGAGAATAAAACAAAACAGACCAAAGCAGCTCAAAACAGTGCAAGTGACACAGCATCTCAAAACAAGACAACCAGAAATCAGCAGTGCCTGCCATCATGTCTCCTGTTTTCTTCGAAATAGTTGTCCATATCTTCACACACATTAAGTTAATATACATCAAAATAATATAAAAGCAATCAAGACACATAGATGAGAGTCTTTAAGGGCTTTCAAGACCAGATACTAGGAAATCAGTGATGGCTACCATGTCTCTTGTTTTCTTCAAAATAGCTGTCCATACCTTCACACATATTGGAATCAAATAATTGAAAACAGAGGACAACCAATCAAAACCAAGAATATTATTGGACTTCGAAACAAAGTTATGTGTGTCAGTGACTTGTATCTGCACCTAGCACACTCTGGTCCTCTCCACGCCCATCACGCCCTCTCCCACCCCACCCCCACGCTCACCCCCACCCCCACCCCCACCCCCACCCCCACCCGCACCCGCACCCGCACCCCACCCGCACCATCCTGGCGCCTGTGCACAGGAGGATGCGCGCCCCTCTCCAGGCGCCCGGAATCCCGGTCCTTTGTCAGGGCTTTAATAAACCTTCTGGTCTTACCACGCTGTATTGATCTCGCTAGGGCTTTATTTAGCGTGTGATGGATGGAGTTACCTTGCTTTGGAACAAAACCCACCACGCAGGACTATTTCCAATCACCAGGATTAATCAGCCTATTGCCTCAGGAATTCCCGCACCCCGGGCTGGGCTCGCTTTGCTTTCAACTACCCTGTTAATTCCTGCGCGCGCCACGGGGCTGGGTCCCCCCAGGGGGCGCTGCCAGTGTTTTTGTGTTCAGCCCCCTCTTGGCCTGGGCTAAAAACCAGCGGCCACTGCCTGTGCACAGCAGGCTAAATCCACAAGCTGCAAAGCCCTGGCACAATGACTTGCAGGCCAGCACTGTGGCTCAGCCTCCTCCTGTCCCCTCATTACCAGGACCTGCCCGGAGACCAGAATCCACCGGAAAGGTATTTCTCAGCTCTGCTCTTCCTGGCCACAACATGAACAAAAAGACTCCAGACATCAGAACGAATTCTAGTCCACTCAAAAGTACGCACAGCTGCAAAGACAGAAAATCATAAGGCGAAGACAGACTGGATCTCACCTTCTGTGTTCAAAGGACCTTTTTAAGAATCAGGACAATTATTCATGGCCCTTAAAAATATTGCAGCAGTCACAGTGTTTCTGATGATTAAACTCCTGATAGCAATGATTGTGCCAATAGCCTTAAGTAAGAAAAAATAGGGCTACATTTGAGTCCTGTCTCTGCCACTGCTATTCATGACAGGGAACAGGGACTGTGCCAAGTCCTGTGTTGGGTTCCTGTCCTGAGAAGGGGGAATAGCCATAGAAAGAGAACACTTCATCATAATTAAAAGAAATACTTCAGGGCTGGGGATTTAGTTCAGCGGCCTAAGCGCTTGCCTGGCAAACACGAGGTCGTGAGTTCCATCCCTGGTACCAAAAAAAAAAAAAAAGGCATTTAAAAAAATACTTCGGAAAACGCCGTCTACATTATAGTTTGGATCCCGATTGTCCCAGAAGGTTCATATATTGAATGTGTGATCCCCAGCCCCTGGCACAACTTTAGGAAGTGGGGTCTAGTAGGAGGAAGTCGGTGAGAGAGGAACTGGGACCCTTGGGGACAATATTGAGAGAACGGTGGCTTCTTTCTCTCCGCTTCCCAGCCACGATGAGAGGAGCAGCTTCCTCCACCAAGTGCTCTCAGCACAGTGGACTGTGTCACCCCTGGCTCAAAAGCAAAGGCCAATTGGCCATGGCCCGAACCCTCAAAAACTGTGAGCCAAGATAAACTTTCCTGTTTTTGATTTTTGATTCTCTCCAGTTTAACAATAATGCAGCCCACTAGCATGCCATTTTTGAGTATGTGTGTACAGAGAGGGACTTTGGTTCAGCCCAGAGGTCTGGGGACCCCAGGGCTGCGTTTTAAGGGGAGATGATTTAACAAAGATGAGAAGCATCCACGTTGCAAGAGCACTGAGTGTGAAAGCTTGCAGAAGTGTCAGAGGGGGCCATGCACTGGAAGGTAAAACTCGGAAGGAAGTGAGGACCGCTGCAGTGAAAATAAGTCACCTGGGTCTCCTAGGAGGCGAAGGTGAGAAAGAATGACCACATCAGGCGGCGGTGAGGGGACGGAGCCCCTGGATGTCTCGAACAGTCCTGGAGGAATCACAAGATAGTAAGTACAACCACACTGACTGGGAAGCAGTTTAACAGTTTCTTTACAAGTTAAGCATACTTCTATCACAGGGTCCAGCCATGCCATTCCTACATATGCATCCAAAGGGAACGAAAATCTATGTCAGGTGAAGATTTGGACATGAACATCCATCACAGCCTTCTGTAATTGTCCCAAACTGCAAACAGCCCAGGCAGTGAGCAGATGAGCAAACTGTAGTAGAATCATACCTTGGAATAGTACTTAGGAACAAAAACGAAAGAACTATTGGCATAGACTTAGGACATAGAGGAATCTCAAAATTGAAAGGATTTTGCCCCAGATGGGACACTAGCCGGTGGGAGGCTGGGAGGCGGAACCAAGGGGCTCTATCTTGAGGTCACCTTTCCAGCTTCTAGGCGATTTACCTGTGGGGCCAAATGAATACCAATGGGCTACCAGTGCATCCCTAATGCCCCTTAGGCACCACCCCAAACCTAAGCTACATGTATGACCCCACACCACTTGTCTGGCCGAGAGAATGCCAGACCCCAGAGGGTCATGGAGTCTCTCTCCACATTCTTAAAATAAAGGCTGCTTTTATTTCATACTTCTTATCTTTTTAGCCATGCCAAAAATTCTGTCCGATGGTTCCCTTCCGCGCCGAAAATTCTATCAAAAATAATTGTGTCAAGTGTAGGAACCAGATTAAAGAAAAGACAAACAGCCCAAACCAAATGATTCTATTTATATAAAAACATTGAAAATGCACATTATTATATAGTGCCAGAAAGCAATCCAGTGCTTGATAGGGAAGGGAGAAAAAAATCACAAATGAGCCTAGAATATGGGACAGATGTCATGGTAATGATCTCAGGGTAGGTACACAATCCAAGATATGCCACACTGTGCATTTTAAATACGTGCCAAACCTCATGAGTTCACTAAAAGTTACTGAGTTATATATGTAAAGAGGGTTAATTGTATAATATATAAATCACACTTCAATAGAGCTGTTAAACATGTGTAATGTATTCTATGTCAATCATACTTCAAAAAATTGTTCAAAGTTTCCCTGAAATGTCACCAGGAGCAATGGCTCACATCTGTAATCCCTAAAGTGAGGGAGGCGGGGCAGGAGGGCCAAAGTTCAAGCTTTAGCTCCACCTAGACAATTTATTGAGACTTTATCTCTAAATAAAACAATAAAAGGCTGGGGATGCAGCTTGATGTGAAGGCCCTGGGTTTGATCCACATGCTACAAAAACTGAGGGATGGAGGGAAGAAGGGAGAAGGGAAGACAAAAGATTTTCTGAGACTCAAATCAGGAGCAGGTATATGGGCTGGGCTTGACTCTGACTCAGCACGCATGCAAGAAGACAGGACCCACTTGGAGGTTCTGAGCAGAGGTGTGGCCCAGCCTAACCTGTGTGTCTAGCACACTCCCCAGTGCAAAGAAA